AACTGACCCTGCTAGGCCGGCCTCAGCTGGAGAGGGCAACAGGCCTCAGCTGCACCCAGGATTCCTAAAAACGCGTCAATATATTTTTTTAATTAGTTAATTCATTAATTTGAAAGAGTGACAGAGTGATCCTCAGTTCGCTGGTTTACTCCTCAAATGCCCACAAAGATCAGGACTAGGCTGGGCTGGGCTGCAGCCAGGAGCCCAAAACTCCAGGTCTTTCACATGGGTGGCAGAACCCAAGCACTTGGGCCATTATCTGCTGCCTTCCCAGGTTCATTAGCAGGAAGATGGATTGGAAGCAGAGCAGCCAGGATGTGAATCAACACTCTGACGTGGGATGCCAGTGTCACAAGTGGCAGCTTCACTCTCTGTACTACAATGCCACAGTGCAGTTTTGATGCCTCCTCCTGTGGTGGCAACCACTGCTACACCTCACTCACATGCTCACTTGGGGCCCCACAGCTGATTTTTACATCTCTTGGGTTTTCAACACCACCTCTATTTGCATGTTGGGATCAGATGAAGAGGCTAGTAGCAGTTGGATACACACTTAAAGTGGAAAAGCCAAACTGTGATCACCATGTCCTGTTTTGGGTGGATAAAAATGAGCTGGTTTAAATAATAATAATAACTTCCCTCCCTATTTAGGGACACATAGCAGCTATTGGCAAGGTCGGTTCTGAAATGTCCTTTTCAAAACTTTGCTTCTGCCAGTAAACCAATTCTCAGTAAACAGGAGTGACTGTCAAGATATTTAACCCATTTCGGGCTGTCAGAAATTAACCTTCTAGTTGCTGGATCATGGTGAGGTTCTGGGGAGATGGGGCGTGGTGAGAGGTTCCTTATGGATGTATTTCAATTTTTAAATACCTAACAAATTAATCTTCATTTTATTTGAAAAGATGGAGCAGAAAGAGAGAGAGAGAGAGAAAGAGATCTGCTGATTTACTCCTCAAATGCCCAAAAAGTAATTTGGGCTGGACCAGGCTAAAGCCAAGAGCCCTGAACTCAATTCAGGTCTCCTGCTTGGGTGGCAGGGATCCAAGTACCTGGGCAATCCCCACCACCTCACAGTGTGCATGTTAGACAGAAGTTGGAATTGGAAGGACAGCAAGGACTCAAACCCAGGCAATCCATGCGTCCCACACAGCATGGTTACCCCTGAACCAAATGTCTGTCCCTCAGTATTTTCATGTGGCCCTGGGGCACCCTCCCTGGCTCAATCTCCTTCTTCTCACTGCCCCTCCTGCCCACAAACTCCTAGGATTATTTGCATTCGAAAGCAAAGTAGTGGGAACTGCTGGCCACTGGAGCCAGGTGTTTGTGGTTAGGTACTCTCAGATGTTTTATGTTTCATACTGAAACGTCACTGTAAACCTCGGAGGAATTTTAAAAACAGCCTAAGGTTCTTAGGCTCACTTGCTTTTCAATGTTCTCCTAACCATTTTATTATCTGATATTCCATTCAACAAAATTTATTGAGTACTTACCATATAGATTAGGATCAAAAAGGAGAGCAAGAGGGGTAGGGTTTATGGGGCCGGTGCTGTGGCATAGTGGGTAAAACCACTGCCTGCAGTGCTGCCATCCCATATAGGCGCCGGTTTGAGTCCCAGCTTCTCCACTTTCAATCCAGCTCTCTGCTATGGCCTGGGAAAGCAGTAGAAGATGGCCCAAGCGCTTGGGCCCCTGCACCCAGGTGGCAGACCCAGAAGATGCTGCTTGCTTTGGATCAGCGCAGCTCTGGCTTTGTGGCCAACTGGGGAGTGAACCAGAAGACGGAACACCTCTCTCTCTCTGCCTCTCCTTCTCTCTCTGTGTAACTCTGACTTTCAAATAAGTAAATAAATATTAAAAAAAAAAAAAAAAAAAGAGAGAGAGAGGGGGTAGGGTTTAGCCTAGCAGTTAAGATGCTGGAGTAAAGTCCTGACCCTGGCTTCTCACTCTGGCTTCCTGCAGACTGTGGGAGGCAACAGATGGTGACTCAAGCAGTTGGGTTCCTGTGATCCACATGGGACACCTGGATTGAGCTCCTTGTTTCTGTGACATGCACTTAGGGTTTAGGGTGTGAACTAACAGATGGGAGCTATCTCTGCCTCTCAAAAAAATTAATGACTATATATATATATATATAAAGTCCCAGCTATGGGAGCATCCAGGGAGAAAAAGCTCCAGAGCGGGAGGGAGGAAGCTCAGGCCAAGGGCATGCAGGATGGGAGAACCACATAGAAAAAAGTTGAAGTGGCTGTCAGTCCCTTTTTTTTCCCCCCAAAGATTTATTTATTTATTTGAAAGTCAGAGTTACACAGAGTTACCCCAGTTGGCAGCAATGGCTGGAGCTGTGTCGATGTGAAGCCAGGAGTGTCCTCCGGGTCCCCCATGTAGGTGCAGGGGCCCAAGGACTTGGGCCATCTTTTACTGCCTTCCCAGGCCATAGCAGAGAGCTGGATTGGAAGTGGAGCTGCCAGGACTCAAACTGGCACCCATATGGGATGCTGGCACTGCGGGCAGTGGTTTTACCACAGCGCCGGCCCCAGCTGTAGGCTCTTGAGTCAAAGAACACTGCTAAGAGCTGAGGTTGTAGATCGAAGCAGGCCTGGATCATGGTACAAGACACTTGGACTTCACAACCTGCACATTGGCAAACTAGCTGGGAGCTTTAAGCACAGTAGGAAGAAGGATGGTCAGGAGGCAATTGCAAGAGTTTGGCAAAAACTGCTTGAATTACAGCAGGTGTCCACAAACTTCCTATAAAGGGTTAGAGTATTTTGGGCTCTGTGGGCTACCTATAGTTTTTGGCACATATTTTCTTTTTTGTTTTTAATCAACCCTTAAAATACAGAAGCCATTTTTTTTTTAAAGTTTCATTTATGTATTTGGAAGGCAGAGTGCCAGAGACAGAGAGAGATCTTTCACCTGCTGGTTCAGTCCCCAAATGCCCACAACAGCTAGTGCTGGGCCAGGCTGAAGTCAGGTCTACCATACGAGTGGCAGGGACTCAATTACTTGAGCCACCACTTGCTGCTTCCCAGGGTGTGCATTAGTAGGAATCTGGATTGGAAATGGAGGTGGAACTAAGCTCACGTAAGCACACCAAGCAGTGTCTTAACTACTGTGCCAAACGTCGGCCCCCAGAAGCCATTAACTAGATGGCTGATACCTGGACTAGAATGACAGACGAGAAGATGAAATGTGGTTAGGTTTGCAGCTGACTTTGATGACTTAGCCAGGTGATTCCATTTTACCAAGAAAGAAGCTGAAACTCAGACAAATAAACCAGAATTATGCAACCAGCAAATTATATAGGGAAACTCCCAGGAAGGAATTGAACATCAGACTATGTGACTAATGGGATTACAAGAGATAGGAAAGTATTTAGGACACGCAAGGTTGAAGCTTTAGTAGTGGCGTTTGTGTATTCCCACGGCCAAGGGCAAATGCTGGGCCGAGAATTGAATATGCCAAGTGCTCCTAAAATTCAGTAACAGTCATTAGTCGGGGGCTGGTGAGGGGTAAGTAATGGCGGCCCACACTGGCTCACTGGTGCGCATGGCATGGCATGCCAGACCTATAGTTGTGCATGTAGCATTCTCCTCCTTTTGTTTCCTTGAAGCTTCTGAGCCTTATAAAGAAACTCTACACCCTGTCTTTGGTCTTTAATTCAGACCCTTTAGTTGCTACAGTTTAGTTTGTTGCTACTGCTGCATTGAGCAGGCTTGTTACCTCCGTCTCTAGAAGGAAGAGGCTGCACCATTTACACCTGCTGGGAATCTGGGACTGCGATGCCTAGAAAGTCTGTTAACCAGGTGGAAGGTGATTTATGGAGCTGTGCTTAACACATGTAGAGAACTCACAAGGATGGTGATTGCAGAACTATCTGTATTAGGGAAAGACTGAAGTGATCTAAATGCCATCAGTAGAGGTTAAACAGAGCACCTGTTAAAAAGCCTAAAGATATGTCTATTGGGGGTAAGACATCAAAAACTTTGTGGAAAATGGAATTCAAAGATTGGCAGAGCGGTTGGGACACCTGTATTCTGTATCAGAGTGCCTGGCTCAAGTCCCGCCTCTGCTTCCGAATCAGTTCCTGCTGATGTGCACCCTGGAAGGTAGCTGGTGATGGCTCAAGTATTTGGGTCTATTAGGAGACCTGGATTGAGTTCCAGGCTCCCAGCTTTGGCCTGCCCTGGCTACTGTGAGCATGTGAGGAGTGACTCAGTAGATGGAGGCTGGCTGTTTCTATCTCACTGCTTTTCAAATGTCACAATGAATTTTTGAAACAAGGTTAAGTCTATTTTGGTGCAAAAGATTTTTGAAATGCATGCAGTTTTTTTATAACAGGCATTTTCCATGAACTTTTTAAAATTTATTTGAAAGGCAGAATGACAAGGAGCAGAGACAGATATCTTCCATCCACTGGTTCACTCCCCAAATGGCTGCCAAAGCCAGTAGTCAGGAACCTCCCTAGGAATTCCCTGTGTGGCAGGGGCCCAAACACTTGGGCCATCTTCCACTGACTCCCCAGGCACACTAGCAAGAAGCTGGATGGAAAGCAGAGCTGCTAGGACTTGAACTGGAGCTCCAGTACCGGATGCCTGTGTTGTGAGCAGCGCACAAGCCACTGCACCACAATGTCGGCCCCTCCATAAGCTTTTTTTTTTTTTTTTTTAAAGATTTATTTGAAAGTCAGAGTTACACACACACAGACACAGAGGTGGAGAGAGAGCGAAAGGTCTTCCATCCGCTGGTTCACTCCCCAGGTGGCCGCAACGGCGGGAGCCACACCGATCCGAAGCCTTCGGAGCCAGAAGCTTCTCCCAGGTCACCCTCGCGGGTGCAGTGGCCCAAGTACTTGGGCCATTTTCTATTGCTTTCCCAGGCCACAGCAGAGCCGGATCGGAAGCGGAGCAGCCGGGACTCGAACTGCTGTCAATATATATGGGATACCGGCACCTCAGGCAGCCTACGGTTACCGCTGCACGGCCCCGAAACAATACCTTGTTCAAACTCTGTAAGACCAGGTACTTTCCAGAGCATCCAGCTTAGCGCACACAGCGAAGACAGTGAGCCCCGTGAGCCGCTCTCGCCTGGTTCCTCCTCTGGGAGGCAGCGCGGACCTCCCGGCGTCAGAACAAAGGAAGCCCTAGGCACAGCCGCGTGTGGTTCCCCTAGACCCGGCCCCTCACCTCCGCACATGCGCAGGCCGAACCTTAGGCGATCCCGCAGCCCCGCGCGCGTGATGTAGTCTCGTACGCCGGTACGTGATGACGCAGGGGCGTGCGCTCAGTGGCTCGTAGGGGAAGATGGCGGCTGCTCCTTTGGAGGAGAGGGATTGATAGGGGCGGAGGGAGGAGGCCATCCAGCGGAGACAAATCGGAGAGTGAAGACAAACGCTTCACTCGCCGTTAGGAGCTCCGCTCAACGCCAGACGGTGAGTCCGGCGGCGGCGCGGGACCGCCGGCCTGCAGAAGACGGCAGCAGTCTCCGCCATTTTCAGGCTCGGCCGTTGCGTGCTCTGGGGGCTTGGAGGGGCTTGGGACAGGTTGGAGGAGCTGGGAGGACCATCTACGGGAGGGCTCGTTGAGGCGGGGTCGAGCCTTCGGGGAGGGGGATGGAGGCTGTAGGCCGTCTAGAAAAAGAGCGGGGTGAGGGCGGGGGGCACCAAGGCCAGGACTGAGAACTGCTGGCGACTGGAAGACGTGGGTAAGGCAGGCCACAGCTGAGACGTGAAGTTTGGACGCGGGAAGCCCTTAGAAACTGTGATTTGGGGTGGGAATGGCACGAGGTGGGCCGTAGTGGAGTGTGGCTTTGCTTGGTTTGAAGGGGTCACGGGAAGTTTATGTAAAAAGTGCAGAAACAGCTGAAGATTCGGCCTTGATGCTGTCGCGGCTTGAAATCGGCGTTTGTTTCGGGGATAAAGGCCACGGCTTGACAAGCAAAGCCCTGCTCCTTTGGGATAGTTCTATTCCTGTTTGGTTCGCTTTAGATCCCGTTCCCCGCAAGCGTCGCTCTGATAACCCCTTCCCTGTGTCCAATTTCAAGCTTGCTCTTCAGATAAGTAGTTAGCATCTTAGCATTCGTGCTTTAAAAAGAATAAAATAAATGTTGGTGCTCGGTTGTAACCCTTGTGGTTAGTGCCTCTTCCGGGGTAAGGAGGCGTTGGGGCTCGTGGATAGGGAACTCCCTAATAGGATCTGTTTAAATCCATTCAGAAAAGTAAGAGTTACTTGGAGAAAGCCCGGGAAGAATTGTTCAAAGAAGTTTCTCACAGATGATATTAACTGTTTAGGAACTTTGGAGGTCTTTAGGGTAAGAACTGAGAGGAGCATCTCTTGGGAGCTTCTAAGTGCACCCTGGGGAGAGAATGCATGGGGTATTTTATTTTATTTTAATTTTTATCTGTGAACATGGTGCAGTGTTAGAGCTATTTAATTCAAACAGAGCTTTTAGTGACTGTTAGTTAAAACATGTTACTTGTTCCCCTGGTGGCATTTTTCTTTTCCTAGTCTTAATTGCGTTTGACACCTGTCTTTTTTTACTACTGTAAGATACTTTTTTTTTTTTTGAACTGGTCTCCTTTCCCAATAGAAAGTAAAATGCTGTATAGATTTGAATTTGTGCTGAGGCTTGAAATTCTATCTTCAGCTTGTCTTCTTGAAACTTAACGGGAAAATTTTAACTTTGTACGCAGGGAAAGAATTCTGGTAGAAAGTTGCCTTATCTCCACAGCGCTTTGGGGAAAATTGCATCATTATCTATGAAGCTGATGGCTTAACCTGCATTTTTTTCTTTGGTTGTTGAAGATATTAAAGCAGCTGATTTTGCAATCACAGTGTATCTTCAAGCTTTACAAAGTTTATTTTTTCATGTACTTAAGGGGCAGAGCTAGAGAGAGTGAGAGACAAAGATCTTCATCTGTTGATTCACTCCCCAAGTGCCCACAACAGCCAGGGCTGAGCCAGGCCAAAGCTGGAAGCTCAAAACTCAATCTAGGTCTCCTACATGGGTGGTAGGGATCCAAATACTTGAGCTGTCTTCTGTCTCCCAGGATCTATCCTTGGGAAACTAGATCAGAAACGAAGAGCTGGGACCAAACACTCCAGTATGACATGTGGGTGTCTCTCTCAAGTTGGTGGTCTAACACACTGCTTCATAGTGCCTGCCCCTTTTTAAGCTTTTAATTATATTTTTACCAACCACTTAAGATGCTCATTCAGAGCTCTGTTAAGTAACGAAAAGTCCATGTATGCTTTGTGTTATTTGGTGAAAAAAGATTTTTTTAAAGATTTTATTTGAAAGAGTGACAGAGACACAGAGATAGAAAGATTTTCCATCCACTGACGGCAACAGCTAGGGCTGGGCTGTGTGGAAGCAGGAGCCTTGAACTCCACTGGGGTCTCTTCCATGGGTGGCAGGGACCCAAGCCACTTGGGCCATCTTCAGCTGCTTTCTCAGGCACATTAAAATGGAGCTGGGTGGGAATCGGAGCAGTGGGATGCAAACTGGTGCTCCAGAATAGGTTGCCAGCATTTCAAGCAGTGGCTTAATCTGCACCACAGCGCAGCCCCCCCCCCCCCCATATTTTTTTTAGAAAGATTTATTTACTTGAAAGAGCAACTGAGAGGGACACACACACACACACACAGATCTTTATCTGCTGGTTCATTTCTCAGACAGCTGGGGCTAAGCCAGACCAGGAGTCAGGAATGGCCACCTCTATGGGATGCTGGTATTGCAGGTGGTGGCTTAACATGCTGTACCACAATGCTGGTCCTGTTAAAAAAAAAATTGATAATTGCCAAAGTTTGAATAGTTTTCTATCTCAGAATAAGAAAGTGAGGTTATGGAGTCAGTGTTATGGCATTACAGGTTAAGCTCTTGTCTGCAGTGCCAGTGTTTCATATAGCTGGCTGGTTTGAGTCCTGGCTGCTCCACTTCTGATCCAGCTCCCTGTTAATGCACCTGGAAAAGCAGTGGAAGATGGCCCAACTTGTTGGGCCCCTGAATCTATGTAGGTGACCCAGATGAAGTTCCTGGCTTTGGCCTGGCCCAGCCCTGGCCATTGCAGAGCGAATCAGCAGATGGAAGACCTTTTCTCTCCATTATCAAAGTATGTTTAAATAAATATCATAATTGTTCAAAGCATAGATTGCAGATTTTCTTTTTTTGTTTTTAAACTTGTTTATTTGAAAGGTAGAATTACAGAGAAGGAGACAGGGAGAGGTAGAAAGAGATCTTCCATCTGCTGGTTCACTCCCGAAATGGCTGCAATGGCCATCTGGGCCAGGCTGAAACTGTGAGCCAGGAGCTGCTTCCTGGTTTTCCATGTAGGTGCAAGGGCCCAAGGACTTGGGCCATCCTCCAGTATTTCCCAGACACATTAGCAGGGGGCTGGATTGGAAGTGGAGCAGCTGGAACTCGAACTGGCGTCCATATGGGATGCCCCTTTACCCACTACTCCACAACGCTGTCCCCCTCCATTTTTTCTACAAAACATTATTCCGGGCTTGCACCATGGCTCACTTGGTTAATCCTCCGCCTGTGGCGCCAGCATCCCATATGGGCGCTCGGTTCTAGTCCCGGTTGCTCCTCTTCCAGTCCAGCTCTCTGCTGTGGCCCGGGAGGGCAGTGGAGGATGTCCCAAGTGCTTGGGCCCCTGCACCTGCATGGGAGACCAGGAAGAAGCTCCTGGCTTCGGATTGGTGCAGCGCCGCTGTAGCGGCCATTTGGGGAGTAAACCAACGGAAGGAAGACCTTTCTCTTTGTAACTCTACCTGTCAAATAAAAACAAAAGAATAACAATAAAAAACATTATTCCAAGAAATTCATTTGTATTAAAAGTTGCTAATGAGACACATTAACTATTTTGTTGCAATGCTTGGAAGTTTTCTCAGTTGTTACAGTGTGTTGTGTGACAAATAACCTGCCTGACAGTTTTAGTAATTAAAAACGTGTTGTCTTTGTCTTTAGCAGTGATTTAGGTTTAAAAGTAAAATTTTGTGACTTCAAGCCTATTTTTCATTTGTAACATTTCCCTCCCCATTGCAAATAATTTGTGCTGCTCCTTGGCACAGAAGCTCTTCAGTATATTGGAAACTGGGATGTATATTAGTGTCATTTTTTTCTGGTCCTTAAATATTTTAGTAGTTTTCTGGCAGAGTAACTGATTTCACAAAGTTTGTGTTGAACTTTGTATTCACAATTTGAATGCTTAATAAATCCCCAGAGCTGGATGGTTTTGAAAAGGGTATACTTTAGAGGCTGGTGCTGTGATGCAGCAGGTTTAAAGCCCATATGGGTGCCAGTTCTAGTACCAGCTGCTCCACTTCTGATCCAGCTCTCTACTATGGTCTGGGAAAGCAGTAGAAGATGGCCCAAGTCCTTGAGCTCCTGCTCCCACATGGGAGACCCAGAAGAAGCTCTTGGCTCCTAACCTTGGATCAGCTCAGCTCCGGCCATGCAGCCATTTGAGGAGTGAACCAGTGGATTGGAAGACCTCTTTTTCTATTTCTACCTCTCTCTGTAACTCTTTCAAATAAATAAAAATAAATCTTTAAAAAAAAAAAAAAAGAAAAGGGCATACTTGTTTCACAGACCTAAGTTTGAATGTCAGGCTCACCACTAACTAACTTTTTATTTTGGGCCAGTTAATTCAACTCTAAGGTTCAATTTCCTTACACATAAAAAGATTAGTTAGGCCGCTGCCTGTGGTGCCAGCATTCCATGTGTGTGCAGCTTCCCTTCCTGGCTGCTCTGCTTCTGATCCATCTCTATGCTGTGGCCTGGGAAAGCAGTGTTGGATGGCCCAAGTCCTTGGGCCCCTGTACCCACTTAGGAGATCTGGAGGAGGCTCCTGGCTCCTGGTTTCGGATCCGTGCAGTTCTGACTGTTGTGGCCATCTGTTGAGTAAACCTGCGGATCAGATGAAGGTTTCTTCTTTCTCTGCCCCTGCCTCTCTGTAACTCTGCCTTTCAACTAAATAACTAATTTTTTTTTTAAGATTAGTTAGAAAAGTTATCCCAAAGGAGAAAGTGCCTTGTGTATAGGAAGCATTCAGTAGATTTTGACATTTTTGTCCGTGATTGGAATTTAATTGGTAAATCATTAATCATTTCCTTTTTTTTTTTTAAAGATTTATTTATTTATTTGAAAGAGTTACACAGAGAGAGGAGGAGAGGCAGAGAGAGAGAGAGGTCTTCCATTTGCTGGTTCACTCCCCAGTTAGCCGCAATGGCTGGAGCTGCGCCTGATCTGAAGCCAGGAGCCAGGAGCTTCTTCTGGGTCTCCCAAGAGGGTGCAGGGGACCAAGGCCTTGGGCCATCTTCTACTACTTTCCCAGGCCATAGCAGAGAGATGGATTGGATGTGGAGCAGCCGGTACTAGAAGTGGTGTCTGGCCGGCGCCGTGGCTCAATAGGCTAATCCTCCACCT